CGTCACAAACCAGTAGGTGGCAGTGGTGTTCTTTGACAAACATGGATGCCTCCAGTAAAGCACATTCACATGAAAATTACTCTGAATTAAAAACACTGATCATTTATTGAACAGTTCATAATAATTTCATATTTAAAGTGATTTCAGAAGTTTGAATTCTGAATATGAGCGGACTTTTCCTTTAATTCAGTGACATGTTGCTGCCAGGCACAACTGTGGGTTTTACAGTGAAAGATTATCTTTGGTCCGCCTTCAGTTGGTGGGGGCGGAGAAGTATGGTATAAAGTGTAGAAAGCTGTCACCCAACAGCAACTGCTGTTTGCATGAGAAGAAGGAGGCCATCATGTCCACCCAGCAGGACTATGACTGTGTGGTGATCGGGGCGGGTGTCCAGGGCTCCTGCACGGCCTACCAGCTGGTTAAACAGAACAAGAAGACTCTGCTGCTGGAGCAGGTGTGTTGCACACAAACATGCAGCCTGTGGCTTTAAGGCCACTAATAGCACATGTGTGCTCATTGCAAGAGCCATAGATTGTGTTCATGGATTCAAAGAGCAGTTTACTTTCGCTGCGGTTTATTTATTTTGCAGCCATTTGTTTGTGACATTGTTCACACTGAACTCAAGTGGGTTTGGAAAACTAAAGGAAAATAAAATGTTGATTTTAATTTGAAGATGTGTATGGGGGTAAGTATGGGGGGAATGTGTGAATGTGTTAAACAGTATGAATAATTATACAAAGTTTTTCAGATTATAATATAACGTTGGCTTGAACATTTCTATTTTTTAACTAAATAAGCCTTTGAAAACTAATAATAATTGCACAGCATTTATATTCACTGAGAGAGACATATATTTTGACTTCTGCATACTTGTTTTTGATACTCTCATACCTCAACTTCCCCACTGTGGGACGGCCTACTGTTGACGATCATAGGGCCTGGTGCCAGGGGGGGATTTACCATAAGGCAATACTAGGCAATTGCCTAGGGCCCCAAGTTCCTGGAGGCCTCAAAAAACTCTGTTTACATGTATGGTTAATACAACCATTCCTTATTTGTGCACATTAATTATGTTTTTTGATAAAAATCCTTTCGACTAAAATGCCATCAGAACGCTTATAATATTAATATTAAGCCAAATTTTTCGCTTTTGTTGCTATATTTAGCGACTTTTCAAACCCCTCTATCACTTTAATTTAAAAAAAAGCGCCTGGCACCAAACAAGTGACTTATTTCTGCTACTGGAGACTTTGGAGACAACATCTATAAGCAGCGAACTCTGCTCTCCAGAGCGAGTAGATTGGTAACCCCGCCTCCTGCTCTCCTCTATCTTGTCTGCTGTCATGATTCATGCAGCTATTATTTCATCCAAATGAAAAATGGAGAACAGATAAGCAGATCATGGCTTGTCTACAGTGAAAAGAAGGACTGGGTTATTTACTTTGGCCTTTTTGGAAACACAGGAAGGAGCAATCAGCTAAGTGAGCTTAGTGCTTGGAAAAAATCTTTCATTCCTTTAGAGACAGCATGAAAAGTCAGCTGAGTACAAAACATAGAGAGGAAAACAAGAAGAAAAGGGACAAGAAGAGAGGGACACAACCTAGAACAGATAATGGATGTCTATTCTTTTGAAATTTCTGTATCTGTAGAATGGGTCTGTTTGATGTGTTGTCTTCTCAATTCAGAGGGCCACCTGCCTATCTTTGCCAGGGGCCCCAAATTCCCTAAATCCGCCCCTGCCTGGTGCCACCTGTGCCCCCAGGGCAGCTGGGGCTACAGTGTAGCTTACCAACATAAGTAGACAAGCTTTTATTTTGAAGTATTTCAATAGGTAAACAGCAACATCCAAATAAACTTAATACATTTTGCGAAAAAGGTTTTTAAGCTCACTTGAGATGGTTTTTACTTTATTTAAAAGGTGATTTACCCAATGTTACAAGCATAAATATACTAAAGAGGAGATGGAAACACGTTTTTCAAATAAGTTCTGAGACATGACTACATTTAAGCATAAGAATGACACTTCTTTCTCAATAGTTCAGATGGCATGAACCGTTGCTAATACTGCCGGACATTAGAAAGTTAGAAAAATGTGTCCGATTACAACTCATTTATTAAATCTTGGTCCGTCACTGATCTATGGTCTGAGAAAGCCTAGATTAAGATAAATATATGAAATACAGTGATTACACAATAAAAAAAATAGGTGGAATGAACACTCTTCAAAGGATTTTTTTATTTGTAAAATTTACTTAGTCAGTATTTATAAATTCAACCAATAAGCCTTGAGTATAAAAAAGAAGAAAGTGTTTCTCCAAATGGTTCATATTTGTTTAAAACAGTAAGTAGAGTTTCCTACAATGGATGGAGTAGCCAGAAAGTTTCTTAATGTAAAAGTAAAAAGTATTTGGATAACTGCTCCCCAAAGTATTTTTTTTTTCAAAAATTTTCTCAAGTAAATGTAACTGAGTAAATGTGACTAGTTTCTACCCCCACTCTGTTTCTGATGCAATAATCCTGAATTGATTTCCTGATGGAAGTGGGACAAACCATGCATTGGTGGGTGGTGCTGCTGTAGTTAGCTCTACTGACTCCCTCAGCCTGACATCTGCATTCATGCAATATATGTATTTAGACTGATGTAAAACGTTGGAGTGAATAGAATGGATGCAGCCTTATAGTTTGAATTTAGCTAAAAAAAATTTGGCATTTTATTAATATATTTTATCCTCTAAGCACAATGGTTAAGCCTGAGACAAAAAAAAAAAGTGTTGAGAAAGTTTGCCCCTTTAAAAACATGGAATTGCTGCTCCCTCCATTACTTGTGTTTTGTTTGATTTTTTAATAAATGCTTTTTTTTGTTTAAACTTAAACTTAGCATGGTCTCTTAATGAACCATTAATGGGTTCTAAAATTTGACAGGAGCATTTGGACATGCAATGTAATTTATCAAACCTGGGGATTGGAAAGGATGAAAAAAATAATTGAAGGGGCAAATTTATAGAAATCAACATTTACTGGAAAAATATCAATGGAATCACTTTAAACAATCATAACATATAATTACCCAACGAAAGAAAGGGGTCTTTCATTTTAGAGTGGTGTGTTATGTTAATTAGCGGCATGTTAATTAAGCTTTTGTACCGCTGCTGTGCATAAAAGCGCAAGTTGCTGTTTTTTCCTAATAACACAGTAGAAAAACTCCCATTTCAGTGGGAATGGTGTTGTTGTTCTCCCGTTTTTGCAAGTTTTGTTGTGGCAACTTTCAGAATAGATCTGCAGTGTTGGACAGGTAACCAGGATCTGTGACGGGCTTTGTTGATGTTCATTACTCAGTCATTTAATTTGTAAATGATTAGATTGATCTCGGATAATAAAGAAATAAATCTTGGTGTTATTTTTGTTAAGGACCTGTCATTTAAATCCCATATCAAAGAGGTTTCTAGAATTCCCTTCTTTCATCTGAACAATCTTGCAAAAATTACAAATATCCTGTCCTGTGGTGATGCTGAGAAACTAGTCCATGCATTTGTTACTAGGCTGGACTATAGTTTTTCCTCTCCACTGTCGCTACAAGCATGTTAGTGTGAGGGATTGCATCCAAGTCAATGAGTCGATGCAATCAATTGGCTTTCCGTAGATAGAAAAGTTTGAATACTTTGACTTTATGATCTGGTTGAATTGTCTTTGTAAAGTGCCTTAAGATTACGTATATTGGATTGGCGGTAAATAAATAAACTTAACTGAATTGAATTAAGCTGAAATTCTGCTCAAACATGTAGGTCGAGCCAAGCAATGCCAGCATCTTCTGTGCAGACTTCTGGAGGTTTGGAAACGTTGCTTTGTTAAGTGAAGCGTAAAAGTCTTTAAGTTTAATTGATTTGTACTTCTCTTTTAAAACACAGTCAGACTCAAGCTCGATCAGCTCCAGTTGCAGCTCATGCACTGCTGTTTCGGGGTCTTGTAACTTATCAATTTTCTCAAAATCAGTGAACGGATGACAGAATCCTCTGTGCATGTCGTCCAGTGATTTGCAGTATTGTCGCAGCCAAGCAGGAACAGACGAGGCGAAGCTACTTTGGCAAAAGCAGAGAGAGCATCCTCAGATGGGAGCTGGCTCGGAGTTCACCTGCATGGCTGTGTTCTATACCTCTCATTACATTTTTTAATCTAGTCATGTTTTCAAATTGAGGCAATCTGCTATTTTATGCCCCATTATAGCATAATTACTTTACAGTACATACATTTAGCAGCAGGTTGTCCTTCTCCTTAATCTTAAAAATGTGTTTTTTAGTTTATCCTCCCTCACACCCGGGGTAGTTCCCATGGACAAACTCGAATTATTCGCAAGGCCTATGAGCAAGACTTTTACACTCGAATGATGGAGGAATGCTACCGTCAGTGGACTCAACTGGAGAAGGATGCCGGTGTGCAACTGTTCAGGTTAGCCATTTTAATGACTTGCCTATAGAGTTATGTTATAATCATGGTACTACATGTGCATGTGCTGCAATAGGATAAATATGGATACCAGCATATGGAGGCGATGATGGTGACGATGATGACGATCATCATCATCATGAACATGATGATATAAGCAGTCAGAAACACTTTGACGACCTTGTTTTCCAAATGTAGCAGAACAAGTTATGTTTATTTCAGTTTGGAGTAGGTGAGCCATATAACTCTAAGATCTTTTTCCTTACAGACAAACAGGACTGTTGGTCATGGGACCAGAAAACCATGGAGATTACCAGTTATTCAAGGATACTCTACAGAAGAATAAGGTTCCCACAGTGATTTTGACCCGTGACAACTTCAAGCAGCACATCCCAAATGTCATCCTGGCTGAAGGAGATGGTGCCCTGGTAGATGTAACAGCTGGAGTCCTGTTTGCAGACCGCGCCCTGAAAGCTGTACAGGTACGGTTCACTTAGTCTTAGGAAGTAACTCTTTCATTATCGAGAGAAAAGAGAAAAAATGTTTCTTCCAGTTATATTCTCAGAATTGAATTTTCCTAAAGTAGGTCTACATCTTCTAAAGTGTATGTTCTAATCAAGCTGAAATCAAGCTGGTTGCACGACAGTAGCCAGAAGCTTGTAATGACACTTTTGGCAGCTATTGTTAAAGTTACACAAATATACTTATTTAATTATATTTCCAAGAATATGTTAAAAAACATTAACATAAATATACCTCTAATTTATGCTTCATACAGTGGTTCTCATCCCTGGTCCTGTATCATTGTCCTGGAAGTTTTAGGTCTCTCTTTGCTGCTACACACCTAAATTATATGAAGAAATGATTAACAAACTTCTGCAGAACTTGATGTCTGCTCAGCAGCTCCTGCAAACAATTTAAGCAGGAGTACTGCAAAACCGAGATCTAAAACAAGTAGAACCAATTGCTTAATAAATTTCAGGCTATTAAATATATTATCTTCAGTCATACCAAAAAAAAAAAGGCCAATTCCCTATTTTCTGAGCACCAAACTGTCTTCATCAGCATTTGGATCTGCATCAACTTGGAGACAAGTGAATAGAATTAGTTTATAAGCATTTTTGATCATTTTGTAGTTTTATTCTGCTTTTTTTTAAACAAATACATCTTTTCAGTTTTTGAAGGCTAAAACGCGAGTTGGAACGTGACTTCACCCTACCATGTGGCTCTACAAACATATACAGAAAACGCTAGAATTAGACTGGCTGGAAGCTCGAATAATCTGGCACCATGGGCTGGGAACCGGTGGCATAAATAACAGAAGAAACAGGTGGATCTGATAAGAGATAATTATGGGAAGGAGCAAAACAGATTATGGAGAAGGAGTAAAACCCAGCCTATGGTGCCACGATCATGACACAACTGTTTATTTTTTTAGACAGAAAACACTGAATCAATTTGACTGTATGATTTGGTGAACTGTAAAGTTCCTTGAGATGACGTGTTGTGAATTTGTGCTATATTAATACACTGAATTGAATTGAATAAAACTAAACTAGCAACTATATTCTCCAGAATTTGTGGAAAGAATTTGTGGAAATAAGCTTATTAATTTAATAAGTTGGATTGAGTGAAGGTTTCATAAGTAAAGGTTTAATTACCGCTATTTTATAAACCTGTGGCACATATGTATTAGGAATTGATTGTTCATATCCGAAATAAGGTGGAAATCAGAGCTTGCTTAAATGTTTTGGTTGGAACTGGAGAGGGGATCGAACTTGCAACCTTCTCAGAGCACAAAGCTCTAACCACTAGGCCAACAATCCCCCTATAGGTATGAACTATAGGTTGACATGCTGATTTGACCCGTTTAGCTCAGAGAATTTTAGAACTAATTTATACTTGAAATGATGTAACTAAATAAATCTAGAATAATTCTACAGTAACCAGACCTCAATGCAAAGTATTGATAATTCAATTAAATTTTAATTAAGTTTATTTATATAGCGCCAATTCACCACATGTCATCTCAAGGCACTTTACAGAGACAGTTCAACCACATCATACAGTCAAAATATGCAACAAAGTTTTCTATCTAAGGAAAACCAGTTTATTGCATCGACTCATTGACTCTTCAGCAATCCCTCACACTAAGCATGCTTGTAGCAACAGTGGAGAGGAAAAACTCCCTTTTAACAGCGTGAGCGGGCATCTGCCGAGGCCGACTGGGGTTCAAGGAGACGGAAGCAGAGATACAAAAGGCAGCTGAGGCGTCCCCATCCAGGAAACACACATCCAGGCAGATGAGCTCCGAGCCAGCTCCCATGTCAGAGGAGGAAAGAGAGCACAGCAAAGTCAGAGAAACAGGACTACACTGAAAAACAGGCTGATCGAACACACACATATATATATATATATATATATATATATATACAAAGGTGTTGATGGAAACAGCACAGCACATTCAATGCAGAACTCACAAACCCCCTGACTCCCACATTAAAGACTGCTGAACAGTCCGTAATTTAAAAAAGGCAGAAAGTGATCCATCTTAAGAAAGCCACACAATTGCATGAAGTTAGGAAATTTATGTTAATCACTCCTCAATTTTATATTCATTAATTGCAAAACTGTAAAGAAATGAATTTAGGTTCAAATAAATTAAAAATGTTAATAAAGTTTCTTTCTTTTTTTTTTAAATACATGTTTTGAAGCATTAATATTTATTGATTCAAATTTAGATAAAACTGACTTGCCTTTTCACAAAAAGTTGTATTTATTTTTTATTTTTCCAGGGCCAGTTTCAGAAGTTGGGAGGGGTCATAAGAGACAATGAGAGGGTTATGGAAATCAAGCCTGGCTCTGTTGTCAAGGTGACAACGTCTAAAGGAGTTTATCGAGCGAGGAGTGTTGTGATCACTGCTGGACCCTGGACCAACAGACTCCTGGCTCACACTGGTTTCCAGTTACCACTGGAGGTATTCAACAGTTCTTATGTGTAATATTGCTGGTATGACTGTATTTACTGTATGCAGCATTTCAACATTTCATAGGATAAACATGATTATAGTAGTTTTTTGTGAAGTGAAGCATTTATGATTATTTAAAAACTAAAACCGTACTAGAGAATCCCAGCTTAGAATCAACTGTATGTTGCAATGGTTATCTGCACACCATCATGATCTCAGCCAGTCATGCATAATTTGTTTCCTGGTTAGAGCCACTGTGGCCATTTTCTGGATAAAATTCAATAAGTACAATTGTCTTCAAAGGCATTCTAATTTAAACCATTTGACTAATGAATCTCCCCGTTGTGGGACAATAAAGGGATTTTCTATTCTTCTATTCCAAATCTCTTTTGGTTTCATAGGATATTTTTAGTATGATGCACACCTGATGAACAGACAGTAGTTGGGAAGCTGAGGGACCTTTTCTCACTCTGTACACCTCTGACATCAGGCTGATTCTGTAAATACTGAAGCTGTCTGATGTAGTTTAGATATGTGAATCAATTTTCAGTATTGTGTGGAAACAACCTGGTCTTGAATGAAGACAAAGGATATAGTCATGGATTTATTATAATTATAAGCAGAGATTATTCTTATTATGGGAAGTGATGGAGGAGTAAAACTTCCTGAGAGTTCAAATGGACAGAGCTGCAACAGTGATGCCGTTAACAGGAAGGAACTGAGCGCACTGTACCTACAGAGACAAAAATAACACATTGCAAGTGCCAGGACATGTTCTATGCTAAAAATGAACTGAAACTGCATCAATTGGGTCAAGGGAACAGAGACAGCTTTATAACAGCTAGCAGCATCCAGCTCTCATGCACCAGCAGATTGTTTTATTTACCAGAATCGGTGAATAACAACCATTAACATACAAAACATTGATTGAAAGACGGCAGTCTGAAGAAAGTGATGAAGAAAGTGATGTTTCAGTATAACAATATTGTTAAATTAATAAAAAACTATGTTTTCTTTAACATAGAAAGTACTCATGAATCACTGCTTCTCTTTAGTTCTATTGCCCAAAGTAGAGGTTTTTCCAGGTAGCTGCTCATACTGAGTCACTTTAAACTGGACTTTTCTTTCAGTTTTCCTTTCCAAGGTCAATACTGCATGCTCAGTAGACGTTACAGTCCTAAAGGATCAGCGCATTTTTTCTATAATCATTCTAGCTTTAAATTTTCAATGTATAATTGCATTGATTTGACTCCCTGTAAACTGGATCATTTGCTTTATAAACTTAATTCAGTTCAAGTTTGTTAAGTGCTTCTATATAGGGCTAACTCAATTCAGTTCATTTATTTGGTTTATTTTACGGCCAATTCACAACAAACGTCATCTCATCACATGTCATCACATGTTCACCAGATCATACAGTCAAATTGATTAAAAGTTTTCTAGGAATCTAAGGAAGAAAAGTTGATTACATTGACTCATTGACGCAAAGGCAATCCCTCACACTAAGCATGCTTGCAGCGACAGTGGAAAGGAAAAACTCCCATTTAACAGGAAGAAACCTCCAGCAGAACCAGGCTCAGTGTGAGCGGCCATCTGCTGAGGCCAACTGGGGTTCAAGGAGACAGAAGCGGACAAGAGTGACATAGAGATTGGACTAAAATTCTACAGAGTTGGAGAATAGAGATAGAATGAAGCAGAATTATGAAAAAGGGGCCCCTATGTCCTCCAGCAGTCTAAGCCTATTGCATCATAATTTTAGAGATGCTCAGGAAAACCTGAGCCCCTCTAACTACACTGAGACATTTGGGAAAACAAGCAGGAGAAGCCAGGGAAAGACCAGGAGAGATGAGGAACCAGCACTGAGGAACTGCACAGGAAGAGTATTTATGGTTGATTGAACAGAGGGAGGATTGTTTGGGAGCAGGTGTGAACAGAGGCTTCTAGGAAAACAGCTAAGGAAAAGGAAACCAACACAAGAGGGCAACAAAGAAAAGTCTAAGAAGTCAAATACATCCAAAAACACAACAAAATAGGAATTAAACAAATAAAACTAGAAAACAAAAGACATCAACATGAAACTGAAAACTGAAACGTATAATTATTTCACTTAAGATTGTTTTTTTTTTTTATGTAACTGAGGTAATCTGTGTTCTTGATTTGACCTTTGCACTGCAGGTAGTCAAGATCAATGTTTGCTACTGGAGAGAGAAGACTCCTGGGACATACGATGTGAAGCAGCGCTTTCCGTGCTTCCTACTCACTGAGGGTGCGGAGACCAAAGAACACATCTATGGTCTCCCGTCCAATGAGTATCCAGGTTTGGTAAAGGTGGGTGTGTGTTTTAGACCCTTCAGCATTGTGTGTTAACCAGTAGGATTACAGTAGGACATCGGTTTGATTATTGAGACAGTTGGAACTTGTTTAAGTTCTCTGCTTGTCTTCTATGGCTTTTCAGTTATAATATATTTATGCCTTTTTGTGCTTTGTGTGTCCATCGGTGTTCATTTTCTGTGTCCTTCTGCTGAGCTAGCCCTTTGACTGAAACTATTTGATTTGTTTGTTTTCTCTCCGGTTGTCTACTAGACTCCATTTTTGGGCTTCATTTTGCACAGATTAAATGTAGAGTTTAGGATTACCATTACCAGTAAAATATGTTTCGATTTGCACCCGTGATGATCCTTAACTTTAAAAACTCAAATCTAGCAGCATGATTAATAAATTCCCTATTTGCCTTCATCTGTACTGTCAGTAAGTACACAGCTTACAAAAACGATCAATAAAAAATATTTCCACGTGACTAGGTTGATTAATTCGATGTGTATTTCATCCTTGCAGATCCCATCTGGTTTTGTTTAGTATAAAGTTAGATGCAGCTTTTCTTTCAAGACTGCAGATGCTAAAGGCTTTGTTTCCTCTTATTTATTTTAATATTTGTTTATGCACAGACAGGGCAGGGATTGCTTTCTGGGGAATCACAGATTAGCAGGTTAAATGGTGGCATATATATGACAGATGTGAAAGGGATTAGAAATCCTTTTGATTTAATTTGATTAATTTTGTTTACATAATGGCAATTAACATGTCATCTAAAGGCATTTTTAGAGTTAATTCAAACAAATCATCCAGACAGACTGTTTAAAAGCTTTCCATCTAAGGGAAACCAGATGATTGCATCAAGTAAACGACTTTGCGGAATTCTGGTGACAGTGGACATTAGTCTGCATTGTGTTGCTGACTTTCCATTAAACACTGTAAGGAATTTGCCACAGTGAAGTGTGAAACTGCATCTGCACAATGATTGGAGGTTCTGGCAGACAGAGAAGAGAGACAGAAGAAACACAATCAATCAATCAATCAATGGGCCTCATGCAAAAACTGTTCGTACAAACAGATTCATTCTTTAATTATTTGCACGAGTGATTTAGGAGAAAGTGTCCCATTCACCATTTTCCTTCTACTTCTAATCTTCTCTCAGGTACAAACAAATTTGCTCCAGACTTGAGGTAGGAGTCTTGTGCAATCAGTCAGCTGTTATTCAAGACAAGTTTTTCACCAGATGTCAACATGTGTTATTACTTAGAAGCAGTTGTCTATTTTATGAGGCTACATCAGTTTTTTTTATGCAACTGTTGAATTATAAATCACATATTTATTTGCTAATGACAAAACTATCGGTCACCTGCAGCTGGCATGTCATATCCAGAGACTGCTTTAATTTGTTGTCATTTTGTCAAATAAAAGAACCTCCACTGATTGTATACAGGGTTAACTACTATTGAAATAACATCTGTAACAGAAAATGGATAAAAAGTTCAGCAACACAGTATGACTTGCAGTCATTTGACTTCATGGTGCTTTCTTGGCTTTATTACACCAAATGTGGAATGTTTGGGTCTGAATTCATCAAATTAGAGTTTCACTGTGAACCATTTTTATGTTTCTGCTGTATGAACTTAGACAGACTTTGTTATTTTGTACAACAGGTCTCAAGACATTTTCATTTTTAAAGTAAGCAGCAGTGATAAATGTAAACATATGACTGTATGTGATTTACAGTTTCCAACCTTTTTTTTCCTTTAATAAACCCCTTTTTATACAAGATTCAGCAGTCTAACGGCAGTGGGAAAGAAACGGTTTCTGAATCTGCTGGACCAGCATCGGATGCTTTGAAGTCTCTTTAAAGAGGAAAGCAGGGAGAATAGTCCATGGTGGGGGTGTGAGGGGTCATTTATGATGTTATGGACACGCAGCACCCCGATGATCTTCTCTGCTGTCCTCACCACTCTCCTCACCTTCTTCCAGTCTGAGGCGCTGCAGCCCCCCCACGGTAGATGCAGCAAACACTGACTTCCTAAATGAACAGAACAACTTCTTTGGAAGGTTTGAGGCACTAAACAGCACTCCAGCTGACCCAGATGTGATCTGATGATCCGAGGTGGGGGCGGGGGGATGCTCTGAATGCATGTTTGATGTTAGAGTAAATCAGGTCTAAAGTGTTTTCACCCAGAGTTGCAAACTCCCCATGTTGGTGAAAATATGGGAGCACAGTCTTCATGTTAGCCTGGTTAAAATCCCTTAGCAATGATGAAACACCCTCTGTGTGCAGATTGGAGCTCAGAGATAGCCTACAGTACCAGTGTGAGTGTATTAGAATCAGATTTAGCAGAATGTTGTATTTTTTGTTGATATTAAACTCATATTAAGCATTTCCATCATATGATGCCTCTCTTGCCTCCATCAGATCTTTTCAATGGTTTCAGATCAAATTATTTTTATTATTTCCATATTTTTACTTTTGTGTATTTTTTCTCTTGTGATTTATCCCCGACATGCTTGGCTTTTACTGGCCCTTTAATTCTGCTGCTCAGCCCTCAGTCAGCATATCCTTGATCTCCAAAAACAGTCAATTTTTTCATCCTTATCTTCAATGCCATTTCTATGAAAACATGGACAGTCATGCCCCTATATGGCATTACGTTTCCGGGGAAAGTACATCACTGGACTTCATCAGGTTTTATGATCATTTACTGAAGTTAGGAATGTTTGTTGAATCTGATGTGGTTTATTCGTAAAAGCCCACAGTAGGAGAAAAAGTATGAGAAATTAAGCTTAAGGGAAAATTCAATCTGTTAGACTCTGATCATGTTTACCTGAACCACCTGTGATGTCCCCTGCTCAGCTCCAGCCAATCAACTCGGGGCTGCACCTTCTCAAAGCCAATCATCTTTTTAGATCGCCCTCATTCAGCTCCTGGCCTAGCTTCTCTCTCCCACAGACAAGAGAACTTTCACTCATCTCGGCCCCCTCTCCTCCCTCATTTTTAGTCCTTCTCACCCCCTGGCTTATTCCCCCACTGGTGTCCGGGCGCCGGGGGGAGGCTACTCTAATACTTCTCTAGGTTACTCCTCCAACTGAATGTTAATTCACAGTATGGAACTCTTCTGCCGGCGCCTGAGCGCCAAAGAGCTTATTTATGTCTTTATCTGCTTCTGTCTCCCTGAACCCCAGTCGGCCTCAGCAGATGGCCGCTCCCGCTGAGCCTGGTTCTGCTGGAGGTTTCTTCCTGTTAAAAGGGAGTTTTCGTCTCCACTGTCACTGGATGCATGCTCAGTGCAAGGGATTGCAGAGGGTAAACGACTGATCCAATCAGCTGGTTTGCATTGGATAGAAATATTTTGAAGAATAAGATTGTGCTAAATGTAAAAATAAATTGAATACTTTTCTCATTGCAGCTTTTCTCTGTGTTTCTTTGGGTTGAAATTTACAAGAATATAAAAATGTTTATGCATGAAGCCCATTGATCTGAAGGTACTCTGTATATTAGAGAAGTTAATGGTTGACTATTTCCATAACAGGTTCTGACTATTAAATGGAAAGTATAGATATAAATACGGAAATAGATAGAATAATTGAATATAATAATTGATAAGACTGCATTTTTCTTTTGGCTGCAGCAAATGTCTCAGCCATAATGCTTCATATCCAGCTGAAAGACCTTTTTTCTTTTTCTCACCTGCCTCTGATTCGTGTGATGCCTTGAATCTGAATTGATGTTAGGTTTTGTTGTTTGGTTTGTTTTGTACAAAATCCAATAAAAAACTTGCCTACTGAATAGAAGCAAAAAAAAGAAGAATTTAACTAAAGGAAACAGATAAAACAGCTCAAAATCAGGATTTAATTAATAACTTTTTACAACACATAGATATGTTCAGTTTTAATGCAGTGTTGTTGGTGTCACTGATCTTAATTTCTGTTTGTAGATATGCTACCACATGGGTGCCAAGACCGACCCAGATTACAGAGACCTGCAGACAGATAAATCCGATATTGACATCCTGAAGCGTTACGTAGCCCGATGCATGCCTGGCCTGATCCCTGAACCTGCTGTGGTGGAGAGCTGCATGTACACAGTAAGCTAACTTTGAAAAGTTGTGTTATTTTACTGCTGGGTTCACTTTAAAACCACGCCAACAGCTCTAGTCCTTATGAGGGTGAAGATTCTCAGTCATCCAGGTCATAGTCATTCCAAAAAGTAAAAAAAACAAAAAACAATCCACTGGACTTTGTTTCCAAGTTTGATGATGTTTCTTTTCCCATCCAGGAAGCTTTCTCAATTCAAAATGTCAGAAATAGTTTGAGGCTTTATACAGTAGCCTAACAAAGCTTTGTTTTTGCTTCGACAACATGCAAATTGAAACGAACAGGGGCATCCCTTTGGAATGGGGGTCGTTTGGCTTCTTTTGTTGGCCAGCAATAACTCATACATGTCTATGCCTCTGAAAGGGGGGTTGTTAAAGGGAATTGTTGGCTTGCTGAATAGGCGAGGTCTTCCGTTCACCTGTAACGGGGTTGTGGTTGCCATGATAGCGGGAAGGGATCAACTCAGTTGCTGCATTGTAGGTTTTTGAAAGCTTCAACCCGAACTGCTTTACAGGAGACCAGAAGGCTTTATTGGGTTACTATATAAAGCCTCAAACTCAAAGCTATTTCTAACATTATGAATTGAAAAAGCTTTAATTCAATTCAGTTTATTTATATTGCGCCAATTCACAACAGATGTCATCTCAATGCACTTTACAGCGCCACTGCTTCACTTCCTGGATTAGAAGAGAGACGTCTTCAAACTTGGAAACAAAGTCCAGTGGATTGTTTTTAAACTTTTTTGGAATGACTAGTCCTTATGACAGATTACTGATATATATTTAAAAAAAATGACCACACTTATATATATACTATGCTTTTATATAAAGTATATAAAGTAAACTTTATTTACAACTAATTCCCTACTATTGTTCTGTCCAATAACCCCAAAAGAAAACACTAAATTACTGAAAGAAAAAACTCATCACATAGTGAGATCAGCAAACATGCTGGATCAGAACTGCAGCTGTTCTTTAAACCTTCCTTAATCTCAATGAATAATTATTCAAAGGATGGATTGTCCGTCTATCAACTAGGGATTTTATTTAAATAGTGCTAATTCACAACAACTCATTTTCCAGCAATACCCTCCAAATTCAATTCAATTCAATTCAGTTTATCTATATAGCGCCAATTCACAACACATGTCATCTCAAGGCACTTTACACTTCAACCAGATCATCCAGTCAAATTGATTCAAAGTTTTCTATCCAAGGAAAACCAGTTGATGGCATCAACTCATTGAAATGAACTTCAAATTAATGGATTTTAATTTCCATTACTATTTTTTAAGAAGCCTTTTTAATTCCTGTGGTGAAGGTCAGCATCTTATGCTAATTAGCTGATGTTGATCCTTCTCATGGATGCAAATAAATACTTTGAAAAGAATCAGATGTTTGGCTGCACAGATAATTCCCCAAAACAGAATGAAATAGTCAAATATTACTTTATTGTTACAGTGTGATATGTTTAAAGGCAGTAATCTGTTCAAGTTATGACTACTTGTAAAATGTCTTGAATGTCAAAATATGATTTTTTTTTTAAGACCTTGCTTACTCGTTATATATTTTTGCTTGTTTTTTCTTTGTAGCTAACACCTGATCGTCACTTTGTGCTGGATTACCATCCCAACTACAGCAATATCATCATTGGAGCAGGATTCTCAGGTATAATGATAATTAAAAAAAGATTTAGTCAGCTAATCACTAAAAATCACATTTTCCCTCAAAGCTACAGTAAGTATAATCTATCCAATTGCTGATATGCAGATCTGCAAACTCTCCTCCCTTTTGTTAGTTTTTTGGAGATCTCTTTTCCTTCAAAATTGATTAAAATAACTGGTCTTTGTTTTTTTGACATCTGACATAAATAATAATTTCTTACTATGATTCTTCTCTTAAGGTCACGGTTTCAAGTTTGGACCGGTTATCGGAAAGCTTCTGTGTGAGCTCAGCCTGGGAGAGGTGCCCTCCTTTGACCTTTCACCTTTCCGAATCGGACGTTTCCAGTCAAAGACCAAATCAGCTTTGTAGAGTTGGAACTGGTTTCAGCACCTCTGTTTAATTTTTCAAAATCATTGATCAAATCTACAGCCAAATATCAGTTTTGAAGCTCTGAAAGACATTTATTGTTTATGGTTTATAGGTATATACCATCCATTGGACCACATTGATTTCTGTTTTTTTTTACATACATAGTTTAAATCGATAAGTGGCAGCCTAGTGGTTAGGGCATAGATGTTGGAAATCTGTGGTTCTGAGTTCGAGCCCCACTCCCACAGACTGCCACTCTGGGTGTCTGAGCAAAGACCCTTAAACGTCACACTGCTCCCCGGGCGTCCCACGATGGCAGCCCACTGCTCCCCAAGGGGTTGAGTTAAATGCAAGGGTAAATCTCTTCTCCAAAGAAATCAGTAAAGTTAAATTATTATAAAATCCTACCTACCTTGGTAGAGACAGATTTAAATCCTAAATTAAGGATTTAAATCAGCAACTCTTTAAACAGAAATCTAGGATTACTCAGAAACCAAATGTATTCAATCTATTGCAAAGCATAAAATTAAATCTCATTTTTTGAAATGAAATCGCATTATTAGTAGAAACGTACATCTAAACTTTAAACAAGTGTTGATTCAATGTTATTCTTTTTTAACTCAGAATGTGCCTTTTCACGGGTCTAACGTGATACTCTTCATATGTAAGAGAATAAATTTGTATTAATTGATTAGACTTGAATAAAGCAGAATATGAAGCCTCTTAAAGAATAAAAATTTGTTTGCCGTTTCCCTAAAAAGTCTCCAAGGTCCTTGTTCTCAGAGTGGCAAGACCTCAATATGGTATTTTACTGCAATCTCTGGGTTATAAAATAACTGGAAGACATGTTCACCATCTAGACAGAAATCCATCTTGCAAGCACTAATATTTGAATAGAAAATAGACAAATTCAAACACTGTCTTAACTAAATTAAGTTGCCTGCCAAGACGGCCCTTGTTTGGTTTGAAATCTACTGTGATTTTGTGTTTGGAGAATAATCCTCGAGATTTTCAGAGACTCCAGCAACATATGGGATGGTGATGCTCTTACATTTAATCTTTGGGTATTGCAAGCTAACAAAGACCTCAATGACTCCCCATTACTAAGGGGGCGGACCTGTTCTTCCAGTTCAATTTGCATGTTTTCTAATAACCTGACTCCGCCAGATGGATTTGCTCCGCATATGGAAAATTTCCGTAGAAGTAATTTTGGGAAGGGGCGAAAATACTGGTTAGCTGATTGGCCTATGTTGGTGATAGACGGGCCAAATAAACCAATCAGATCA